TTCTCAGAGCAATCTGTTGCATCAGTGTTTGGGTTAATGAGGGCTGCCAGTTACTGTTCCATCGCTGAGCTGCATGGCTCTATGATACCACGTATGTAGAACTCAGCACAATCAGAACTACTTTGCCATAAAGATAGTACCAGATGGTGATGTAATTACTGTAAAGGCCCCATACTCGCCACCTGTCCTCGCAAAAACTCCCACTGCAGACATGCACCTACGTGGCCCAAAGGACCTATTTTGAAAGGTGGTTTGGAAGGGTTTTATATCTGGCCTTCTTTGCATTGAATTATTCTTTCATTCACCATACAGCTGTTCCAGGATATTGTGCAATGGCTAAGCAATTATTATTAATAAAGAGCTATAGTCTAAGCTTTCAGTCTTCTTCAGAACACTTACCCAGTGGAAGGCGGCCTTGAAGCCTAACCACACTGAAAATGATGTTTATATTAAACACTGCTGAAAAGAAGGAGCCTTTCAGTAGTGGTTTTTCAGGCATGTTCCATTTAGAATTAAGACCTGTCTAGAAAAAAACTTGACAGGTTTCCTAAAATTCATAATTTATATGTAAAATTCTGCAGTTAACTACTATATAAGAGAGGTGATGAAATACCTTGAATAATAATAAACTAATAGCAGTAGCCAACTCCAAACCACTTTTTTTTTTGTTTTTGGACCATTGTTGGATACTCCTTGCTTTGCAGTAAACATGAATAGCTGTTTAGTCAGGCAAGTTGTAGTCAAGTCAGGCCAAATCTAGCTTCTTCAGACTGCTACTTGTGTCATACTAGCTTACTGGCTCAACAGATTCCACTATGTAAGATACTTAGATTCCCACAGGCTTTGATCAGGTTGCCTGAGCTTTATCAGATGTTTCTGAATAAGATTGAATGCTCTCCGACAAATGGGCATGAGGTGAAAATGATCCAAGGGTTTGAAAAGTCCTCAGCCATAGGATAGGCTCTTTGTTCTTTATACCCCCACAATTTCTGATGCAATACATTTAGAAGGGACTTACTAGTTACTGAATGATGAATAAGTGAATTAATGGAGGGAGAGAGGGAACGGTTTATTTGGTACAGATGATCCAGATTTTTGGCTTCGCAGACTTCCCTCATTTCCTCTCTTCTGACCCCACCTTTTTTTTTTTTTTTGTCATCTCATTGTTGATGAGCAGCTTCAGCTCCGAAAGGGTGACAATAGGCAGGACATATAGTGGCAGACAGACCCATCAGTTCTCATTAGCCGGCTTGTGTAAAGGGTTTTGACTGAATGGGTGGCACTTCGGGTGGAAGACTGGGAGAGTTGAGTTCTTTGTGCCAGAAACTGCCGTTTCTGGTGACGCTTCCGCTGAGCTTGCTGTCATTCTCTCTGGGAACTGATGGGCTGCATCTGTTCTTCTCACCAGGCATGGCTTTCTCAGCCTAGAACTTGGCCCCTCCTGCTCTGCCCGTTTGGGTTGCTGTGTTCATTTCACTGTCAGGCCCAGATGCCAGCTGTCCTTTGTTCTGACTCTTTGCCTTGCTCTGACCCCTGATGGCCAGAACCTCTCCTTTCTCAACTACTCACGGAGTTCCAGATCCCCAGGAGGATTCTGGACCTTGCCCTATCCCCTCCCCAGTCTCTCCCCCCACGTTCCCCTTCTCCCCACTCCCCCCACACACATACCTTCTAGCCTACACTCGAAGCTTTCTGTAACTAGCTCTTAGTGCCATTCATAGCCTTAATTCTGACAGAATGATCTCTCATCTCAGTTAACAGACACAGCTGTCACTCAGTGATCCCTAAACCTAGAGGAAGTTAGTATTCTACCATCAACCTTCTTGCCTCTCTTCCTGACTAAAGCTAAGCTTCTTGAAGGAATGCACCTTACCTTTTCAATTAAATTTTGATGGATGTTACAAAAAGGAATTCTCAACATGGCTTCATGGCACATCTCATGTCGCAGGTTTTACTCTGAAGTTAACGAAGCCTCCACCAACCAGAATCTAATAAAATTGAACTACTAAATTTACAAATGGATAAATTCCCAATAAATTAAAAATATATTATACAGGACAGCATGGGGTAATAATGGGAAGGAGTGTGCAATGTGAAGTCACACAGACCTGGGTCTGAATTCTGGCTTTCTTAGCCAGGTCCTCGGCAAACTAGTTAACATCACTGTGCCTTAGTGGTCTCACTGTAAAAGAGAGATACCAGCTCCCTAAGAGGGCTGTTGTAAGGATCGGTAATAATGTATAACATGGTAACTATTATTCTTGTTATTGGAGCTAGAAAACTTGGATACCACTCTCAGCTTTACTGGCTAGCTGTGTGATCTTAGATAAATCACTTAATATTTTTCAGCCTTAGTTTCCCCTTTTGTAAAATGGGGAGAATAATACCACCTTATGGGTTGCCAAGAAATTCAAATAAGATAAAGTATGTAAAAATTATTTTATAAACCTAAAAGGACCATATAGGTGTTAATGATTACTGTATGTGTTAGCAAACTAAACGTATTATATCTCTGCTCTTAATGGCACCTGAGTTCAAAACAGAACAAAACCCTAAGAGGCAATAATAAAAGCAATGTTAGATATTTTTGGCTAATAGATTGGTTTTATGCTGATGCATGCTACTGAGTTTATAAATTATTAAAATAGGATAATTGTCTCTTACATTGATTCAGGTTTGCTAGGAAAACTGGTTACATAATTTATGGACAACTTTTTCTAATCCTTATTCTCAAGAAAACAAAACCTTTTGGGATTATAGCAAAACCTTTTGAAATTGCACTCCATCATCCTAATATAAGAGGTATTGTGACACTTTATTTAATCCCACAGATTGGTCTGACCTAAAAAGATTTTTAAAGCTCCCCAGACAGCTGGCCTCCGTGTGGCTCTGTGGAGTGGAGGCAGAGGTTCAGAGGCCATGGCACCCCACTGGGCCTGGAGGCAGCGCCCCTGACAGCCTTGCAAATCCCCTGAAAACACCCTCCTTTCTAAGGTCATGTTTCCCTGTCTATGAAACCGTTTATGCCTATTTAGAAGAATAGAGACCATTTCTAGACAGTGGTGCCTATTCTTCAGGGTTCCAATTACGTAATTCTACAAGGATCCCCTTGAAACCCAGTGAAGGCTTTCCCTGAACCTTCTCTGAGGCACACGCTAATGAATGCAATACTTCATTGCTCCTGTAAGATTCACTGCAGGGCTTCTGGCAAACAAACTTTTCTTCCATGAGCACAAATTTGTTTCCTGTATTAAAAAATGAGGAAAATAATTCCACTGATACAAAGGCCAATTTGAGCAGGCTGGTCAGGAAATACAAAAGTGGAAGTTCTCATTGCAACATCTTTCTCATCATTGTACAGCATCCCAGTTGCAATAAACATTACCAGCTGTTTTTTTGCCTTTTTGTTTTCCTTCTATAGGACTTTGGTCTGTAAGTCTTATTAACCAGAAATCAAGTCATCTAAATAGGTGGGGGGAAATGCAGATTAAGAGTGCCATTTGCAGGGCTGGCCGAGTGGCGCGTTGGTTAAGAGCTGGCTTGGGAC